GAACCGAACGGTTCGGATGGTTTTCATAAACCGTTCCATCCCTAGTAATTATGGTACTAAAATTACGTATTTCTATCCTTAACTCACTAAAGAATGCTATTACACGTCTTTAAAAAAAAAAGTTTTATTACTTTTGTGAGACAATTTTTATGCTTTTTACATTTTCTTTTCTGATGTCATCATCAGGCATGCTCAGAGCAGTTCGGTAATATATGTTTATCATGTTGATCTGCATTTTAGTTGTTTTTTTTTCTTTAGATTACGCACTATATACCGTAAGGTTAACACGAAAGGAAAACATAAAACCCAAAAAAAGACTAGATTTATGTTTAAATCCAAAGCTGAAAAGCGTAGGATTCCATTTCCGTTGCAGATCGGGCACAGAGTGATAAAAAAGAAAGGATTTTAAGGCATTTATTTTCTCAGGAAATACATTATTAACCTTTAACACATATTTCAGTACGCTTACTATTTTTGGGGAGGGAAAAACGTCATTTAGGTCTTTTTAACAAAATAAAATTGAGGGCGACCCGGATGAATATCTAGATGCGCAAACACAAATGAGCTAAAACTCCAGTTTGGTTTGAAGAAAAGTAACCCCATAGCATGATGCTGCCAACACCATGGGCCACTGTAGCTCTGGTGGTGCTTTGATAAGTTTTTATGCCAAATATTAATTTAGAAAATATGTCAAAATCTTTCATTTAGTTTAACTAGACCAGACAGCTGCCAGAGCTGGAATACCTCGAAGTACAACATCTTAGTCGAAACTAATGGAAAAAAATTAAATAAAATAAAAAAATTTGAATACTCATATAGATCTGTAAAATATTTAAAATGATTAGCCATTATGTTGAGATCTATAGCTGAGCTGGTTTTACTTTTTAAGCCAGAATTTTTTTTTTTGTTGAAAAAGCTAAAAAATAAAAAAATAAAAAAGTGTTTGTAATATTTATTACTTAAAATGTTAGCACACATTTTACAAGGAACATTACAGCCTCAGTTGAAAGGCCAAGAAGGAGGAGACGAAGTAAAATTATTCTAATAACAATCTTTCAGAGTTAAACTAAGACTTCATTCAAAAAGCAACCAAAATATCAGCATTTTAAATCATTATTTTATATCTAATGGCAAATTCTCATCAAAATATTCATCTAACTTAAAACTTCAGTCTTTTTACTTGGCCCTTAAGGTCAACAAGTGCATAAGCCAGTGTTTTAGTCTGAGTGCTTTAGATAAGCAGTTCCCTCTGCTGAGATTAAACGTATCTCTGATATTTAAGGTTTTACCGCAGAAAGACAAACAGTGTGGTTTCTCACGCTTAAAAGACAAGAGAGGAGACTGGCATGCTATCTACGGACGTGTATCTTTACTGGGATTTAGTGCGCTCTGATTTCACTTGGATTCTGCCTTATCAAAGAGATAATGTGCAGATTTACTACGACAATAAGCTAACAACCATCATGACATTGAATTGGTAAACCTTCGTTTAACCCAAAGAATCCTCTGAGCTGAAACAACAGAACAGCAGCTTTGTTATTTAAAATTCACTATCAGATTATATGCTGTGGTCATTTTGCAGATCTTTGATATTTTCCAATATCCATTACTGTTATGGAGTTATTTATTCTCCAGGTGCATAGTTTTTATATTGTTAAAACTGTGCACTTTACAGTACAGTATTTTTTTTCATTTTTATTCACTGCTCACCATTATGTTATTCTTATACATTTTTCTAAGGAGACCATTTTTTCTATAATCCTTTTGCTGCTGTAAACACCAGAATTTTCCCCATTATGGGACAATAAAGGGATTTTCTATTTTATTCTATCCTAGATTACATAAAATTAGAGAATAATTCGATTTTCGTTCCATCTTGAGTTTTTGTTCTGGAAATAACTGCTTAACTTCAGACCGACAGCATAGAGAGGATGCTTTAAATTATCAAATAATGTAGTTTTCAGCTGCAGAACTTTAACTTTAAAACAATAAACAGGAATCTGTTCCTGTTTGTTTTGCTTTTATTTAGAAAAACTTAATAGGATTATAATAGAGAACGGATAATCCCATTGCTCTGTCCCCCTGATGCTGAAAAGCCTTTATTAATTTATTTTCTTTGGATTTTTGCTGCTTTTTAACATCTCCCTCTCAGAGGAATCTTTTTTGCAGGCATTAAAAAAAAGCTCTTAGCTCTCAACCAGCACAGTATAAACCCGAGCATTCCTTTGAATTGATTTGACTTTTGTCTTGAAAGAAAAATCTG